ACGCCCCATCCCAGCTGCTGGGCACCAGGACAAAGCCACAGCTCACCCCAGCATCTCTGTGCCATGGAGCACATCCCCAGCATGGTGGGGTTGTCGTTGTTGCTCTTGGAGGGAGCTGGCAATGTTACTTGAGGGTGCTCAAGTCTCCTCAGCCTGGCACCCACCTCCTCTTCGCTCCCACCAAAGATGCTCACACACTTCCCTCTGGAAGGACCTGCCAACAGCTCCAACAGCTTCTTGCAGCTTGTGCAAATCTGATCTCCTCCTCAGTGCTCTTTCTGTGGATCCAGTAGCTTTAGGTTCAAATTCAGGATATTCTGTATCTCATCTTCATTTATCCCCAGGCTCTAATTTCTCATTAGATTCAGATTTTTGCCTTCTTCCTGCAGGCCAATGTCTCTGCTTTTCCTTGCCGCCCTCATTCTGTTTGAACCTCACAGTCACCTTCAGATGCCTTTCTGGTCCTCCTATGACTCTCAGAGGTCCCTCCCTTGCATTGTTTTCTAGGTGTGAACATGAGGATTAGAATCATTTTAGTCATTGAATGGTCTGGGTTAAAGGGACTCCAGTTCCAACCGCCTGCCACGGGCAGGGACACCTTCCACTAGAGCAGGTTGCTCCAAGCCCCTGTGTCCAACCTGGCCTCGAACACTGCCAGGGGTGGGGTACCCTCCCAGGGAAGAACTTCTGCCTAAGAGCTCATCTCAATCTCCCCTCTGGCAGGTTAAACCCATTCGCCTTGTCCTTTCTCTACAGGCCCTTGTCCAAAGCCCCTCTCCAGGTTTCCTGGAGCCCCTTTAGGCACTGGGAGCTGCTCTAAGGTGTCTCCTTCAGGAGCCTTCTCTTGTCCAGACTGATCCAGCCCAGCTCTCTCAGCCTGGCTCCAGAGCAGAGCTGTTCCAGCCCTCACAGCATCTCTGTGGCCTCCTTTGGGCTCGCTCCAACAGCTCCATGTTCTTCTTGTGTTGCTGTCCCAGAGCTGGATCCAGTGTTCCAGCAGAGTCACACATCTCCAGTGCAGTATTTGCAAACAGACTTTGTCTGTAATGTTTAAAGATGTCTCTGTTTTTTGAGCTCTGCTCTCACAGCCTGTCATAGATAAGGGAAAGCAGGAGATCTTGCTGTACCTTCTCTAGTGGTGTAGACACAGTGTGCTCCCATGAAGGACAGCAACTGTTCAGGCAGGTCCAACCTGTCACATTTTGTAGGATCTTTAGACCAGTCTCCCGTTGCAGCTCAGGGAATCTGGAGGGGTGAAAGGAGCTGCTCTCATTTGACAGTCCCTGGGATCCTTCTCAAGCACAGTGGTAACGTCCCAGCTCATTCTGGTGTTCTTCAGGTGACATAGGGTTGGGGTTGCCTTGACGATTGAACCCTCATGGGCTAACACCAGCCCCCACCAGTGTATCCCCCCGAGCCCTGGGCAAGGTGTGAGGAGTGCGGGGCAGAGGCACATCTTCAGCCCACCACAGAGCAGAGCCCAGGGCTGCCCCATGATAGGGGAGAGCACTCACCATCCTTCTGCCTGTCCTTACCTCCTGCTCTCCCTGTAGATGAGCCCCAAGTCCCTGCAGCAGGGAAATCTCAGCAGCCCCACCACATTCCTTCTGTTGGGATTCTCCAATGCCTACAGAGCACAGGTGACCCTCTGCCTGTTCTCGCTCATTTACCTGGTGACAGTGCTGGGGAACCTGCTCATTGTGACCCTTGTCTGGTTGGAAGCCCACCTGCAATCCCCCATGTATTTCTTCCTGGGCCACCTCTCCTTCCTGGACATCTGCTACTCCTCTGTTACCCTCCCTAAGATCCTTGGAGACTCCTTCTCACCACAGAAGACCATCTCCTTTGTGGGCTGCATCACACAGATCTACTTCTTCCTTTGCTTCGGGGGCTCTGAGTGTGTGCTCCTGGCTGCCATGGCCTATGATCAATACCTGTCCATCTGCCACGCCCTCCGCTACCCTGTACTCATGAGCAGGAGGACGTGCCACTGCTTGGTGGCTGTTTCGTGGCTGAGTGGCTCCTTCTCATCTCTGATCCAGGCCTTCCTCACAGCCTGTTTGCCCTTCTGTGGCTCCAACATCATCGATGTTGGATGTGAGATGCCCTTCTTGCTGCAGGCATCCTGCAGCCCCAATGCCCCCTCAACAAGGCTGCCTTTTATGCTCTGGCTGGGACTATTGCGATGAGCTCCTTCCTCCTCACTTTTGTGTCGTATGTTCATATCATCGGGGCTGTCCTCCAGAAGGGACCAGGGATGCAAAAGGCCTTTGCTACCTGCACCTCCCACCTGACCATGGTGTCCCTGTTCTTCGGCACTGGGGCTGTGGCATATCTGGTGCCTCACTCCAGCGGCTTTTAGGAGATGGACAAGGTCCTTGCCCTGCTGTACGCTGCTGTGACCTCCATGCTCAACCCCATCATCTACAGCTTGAGAAACAGCGGGGTCAAGGGTGCCATCAGGAAAGCCCTCTGCAGGGGGGAGGTTACAGAAATCCACTGAGGGTTCAGGCATTGCCACTGAGTGACCTCCACGCTCCCCGAGGCAGGGATGCGGCTCTCAGTGACCCGACAGACATGAAGGGGTCTGGTGCTGCTGGTGGGGGCACAACTAGCAGCTCCTCACCCTCCCTCACCAACACAGCCAGTGCTCACAGCCGTTATTGCCTGACGGGAACGCAGGGGCTGGGTACCCAATTCACAACACTGCCTCCCCTTGTGTGTGTGTCTGCATAGCCGGGTTGAGCTTGTAGTGCCAGCTTCAGAAAGCCCAGCTCACCAGGCAGTGAGCTGTGTCTCACCCCATCCCAGGACCCAGGTACTGTCCTTCCAGCATGGAGCACTGCAGGAGTCTTCACCCTCTTGGGCCGGTAGCAGAAGGATGGGGCACAACATGCTGTGGAGACCTGGATAGACCAGGATGGATGTTGTAAAATTACTGATTGCTTGGGCATCGAGTTCTCCCAGTAAGTGATTCTGGGAACTTGTTTCCTAAGGAATAGGCATTGTCCCATAGAGGAGCTGTGCTGGCTCTCCACACATTATCCTGTATGGGATGGTGCCTTTGGTAAGCCTTGTTTTTTTAATCATTTATCTACACCAGAGCTTTGCCAGGCTTTCTGGAAAGAGCTTTTATGCCTCAGTCGAGCCCTTTCCAAGGTGGATCACTGTGCAGAGCACAGCAGTAATGCTGGGCTGCTTGTATCTCCTGTTAAGTGGTGAATAATCTTGTCTGGGCTGAACCTGCAGACACTGCAGAGCCGGATGTCTTTCCCTTAATGCAATAAATTATGTATAAGTAGGAAAACCACTGTCAGGGGATTGATGTTTGTTGTTTCAGGAGTAAAAGTTAAGCCTGGGGATAGAGAGCTACTTCCATGTGCAAAATGGTGTCAATAAGACAGGAGCTTGAGTGGAAGAGGAGACTAATCTGGTTCATGATGTGCCTTCAGGAGGGTTCAGGGTCTCTTAGCAGCTCATGGGGCCAGGAAGGTGTTACTTGGTGGCTGTAAATAAAAGGTGGGTGAAAAGATGTGTGACCACTGCTCAGTGTGTGCAAGAAGATACACCTCAAGGCACAGCAAAACGGACCTGGCCGAATGCTGAGTTGGGATTTCTTTACAAGTAAGACTCCATAAGACTCCCACCTAGCAGAAATGATGGTTTTCTGTGACTGGAAATAGCTCCATTCCTGATGGAACCAAGGATTTCCCAGTAGGAACCCAATGTGCCTTATCCCACTCAGGTGAGGCTACAACTTATCCTCCCAGGGCACATGGACAAGGCAGTACCAGTTGGGGAACCCGGTTTTTAGGACTTCTACAAAACCAGCAGCTCCTTTGGAAATACAATAGGAATTTCACACCTCTTCCCAAGGGGAAGTGCCCCAGGGCAGGGTGAGCCAGGGCTATCTGCCACTCCTCTGCTCTCCCAACTGACAGGGAAACCTCTGATTTCATGACTGCTCCTGCCAGTTGTAGCTACTTCAGTATCTGTTATGCACCTCTGGAGGTAAAAAAAATGGAGAATTCCTGTGGCAGGAAAGGGTCAGGCACCAGAATCCTGAATGTGCTCTGTGCTCAGCCTTCAGCAACTCATGACACCCATGGGAGAGACCGCACTATGATATGGAACAACAGATCTTGCCACAGAGACCAGCAGCATCACTAGAGATAAAAGCAACATCTATCCCTTTTGTCAGGCTTACCTGCAGTGGTCTCCAAAGCAGGGTGCATATGCCCTAGCAAGAGAATGCTAAGGTTCAGGAAAAAGTATTTTTTGTACCATTAATAAATAGAGTCAAATAAAATTATATCAGAACTGGTGTTTATTTAATCTTTATCTTGTCTTCTTAAAATGTTTGTTACTGTGTCTGTTTTATAATGTACATGTATAGAATTTATGAATAAATACATATATATATTGGGGTGCATATATTCTATCAGTGAAGCTATTCACTGATAAGGGCATGCAATCAAAACCATTTGGAGAGAACTGCTCTACAACACCACAGCAGAGCAAAAGGGTCTCTGGGAGTGAAGATTTACCCATAGCAAAGGAAGATTTAGGGATGAAATGGGGACCACTTATGCAAACAGGACATATCAAGCCTCTGGGACCAGGCAGGATGCAGCCCAGGGTACCAAGGAGCTCTTCTGGGGCTCTCTATCACTCTGGAGCCCCTTGTTTTGACCCCTCAGAAAGCCTCAGTGGATTGAAGCTGATGATTGATAGGGAATTTCTCACCCCACTTCTCCTGCCCTCTTGCCAAGGCCCTGCGGGGGGTTGCTCGGTTGGAACACACAATTAAGCTGTAGGTGGGGAGAAATCCAGCTCATGATGTTACCTGTGCACTGGCACCGGCCATCACACAGACGGGGGTGAGGGAGGGTTTGATCTGCTACCCTGAGGATCCATCTGCAGGGTTAAGAGCTGGGAGGTGCCTGCAGAGCTCATCTTTCTTGAGGTGTGCTGAAGAAGGTTGTTTTCTTGCTCCTAGAGTTGACGCTTCTGTTGGTGCTTCAGGACTGGGCAAAAATCCCTCTGAAGGAATGTTTTGATGGAGAGAAGCTCATGCTGCTGGAGGGGCTTTTCGCATGGTGGAGGATGAGGATGTGTTTTCCCATGGTGGAGGATGCTTTGCTTGGACACAGTCTCCACAAGGGAGCAGAGGTCAGACAAAACCCACCTGCCTGGTTTTGCAAGGACACCAATTCATGCTGTAAGTCCCTCAGGCTCCCTGGCTTTTGGCAGCACAACATTTAGGTGCTTGGACACTTTAGTGGGGGAGTCACTGGGTAGTGAGACCTTTCTTTGAGTTAACTCTTAATGGCAGACTGCTCTGCCTGGCAGAAGAGATGCTGGTTGAGCAGTCAGCAGCTTGGGCAGAGGAGGGAATGGAGGGGTCCTGCTCTATCCTTGAATTTCTCATTGCCCTACATATTAATGGGTGCAGAGCCATGATCTCCAGCTCACTGCACCATCAACATAGCTTCCCATTCTAGCTAGGTTAAAGACCTCAAGAAAAATGGGGAGATGTCTGTGAGTAACATATTTCACTATGAAATAGGCATCAGAACTTGAATTCATGGGTGGGAGTCAGTGCAAATCTTCCCATTTGCTGTGGCTTTCACTCAGGGCTCTGCTCCTTCTTGCTCTTCACCTGGGTTTGCTCTTGAGTGCTTCATAAAGTACAGAGAAAACAACACACATGGCTGCTGGCGTGCACAGAGCAGAGCTGTCAGGAGCTGGTCTCTCGCTTCCAACCCATAATGGTGATCAGCCAGCTCCACCAGTGGACAGGGCACGTGGATGGCATCCATATCCTGGAGGCTTCAGGAGGTGAGACCAGAGGGGCTGCTGTGCCAGGGCTCTGCACCCAGGCAGAAGTTTCTTCTTTTGCCTATCACTGGATAGAGGTTCCCCCCATTACCTCTGCATTCAGCCCAATTAATTGGGTGATGACTCTGTTCCTCCTAGAAAGGTGACTGATCTTCAGTGGAAGATTAAGAGAGATGGAAATCTTAGTATTCCCTTGACAGCTTCCTCCCAGACACCCCTGACATTGCTAATTACAATGTCTTTAATTGGAATTGCCTGAGCTCAAGTCTCATGTGCAGCTTTGCACCTTCCCCAGAAGCTGTTTGTGCTGGAGCAACCAAATGACCTTTGGAGATGCTTTTGAGGAGGCCCCTTGGAAAGCTGAGCTTTGCATGGCATCAGCTGGAACCCAATGGTCTTTATTTGCTCTCCAGACCTGCAGGATGTGAGCAGAGGGTGATGGTCCTAAAAGAAACCTGATCAACTTGGTCAATGTACAAACTCCTGTAAATACCAGGGGAGCACAAGGTAGGAGGTGGGACCTGATCCAGCAACAGAACCATGTATGGACATTGATTAAACCTCCACAACCATGGCATGAACATCAATGAAACCTATTCCTCACCACATAGGTGGCAGTTTCATGTACTACCAGAAGGTGTATCAGGAGGAGATAGGGATTTCCATGCCCCACTCCTTGGGGTCCCAATACCAGGCCCTTCAGATAACGGTGCTGCCCTGTGAACACCTCCACCCAGGCGCAGGGACTCCTGTCCCAGAGCCCACTCCAGCCACATGTACCCTCCCACTCCTCTCTGCAGAGTATGCTGGAGTCAGGATTTGCAGGTGATGCTTCCTGGGGCAGAAAGGTCCCTTTTCTGAGGGAGACTAAAGTGGTCTCATCCTGGCAACCCTCCACCCTCCTGTAGGGCAAAAAGCAGCAGGTTAAAGATGTGGTTACTGGCCCCACCATGGACACTTGCCCCAGTTCTCTCAGCACCATCACCTGGAGCACTTGCTGGTTCATGTTAAAATTGTGAAGCATTAATGAGTACAGAGCTGGAGCAAATCAGAGAGCAAAGAATATGCTGGGTCTTTCCTTTAGGAGTAAAATCCCAGACAGCTGGCGGAAGTGAGAAGCCAGGAAAATCAAGGAAGAAAGGGAATGTTAAGTTGTCTATTCTGCTGGAGGCAGATGACGAGGCTGCAGAGCATTGTCCCCATGGCTATGCTGTCACCCACCTCTGCCTGCACCATCGTGTGCAGCTGCAGTGGCAACAGGCGCCGCAGGCAGAGAACAACCCCTGCCAAAGCCCAGCCTGGTGCTCCCAGCACGCTGCAGCTCCAGCCACCACTCCAGCAAACCTTGGAAGTGCAGGAGCCGCTGA